TATTGTCCATCCAACCTTAAATGTCAACTCTGTCACTCTCATAGGCTGGTTCTGCTTAAAAAGGTTTCCTGGCTTTGTTAGATTCCTAGGAGGGATTTCCCCCCGCCCTTCTTCCTAATTGCTGGCAGAACCCTACGGATGTATTTATATCAGCCTTTTCATTAGGGTCAAGTCTTCACTAGAGAATTTTGCCAGTGGGTAAGGGCTGTGAAGAGATGCGATCCAGACAGAAGTGGAAGCACCAAATGCAGTTGTAATTATACTGCTTAAACTGCAGCTTACCGACCACAATGGAATAACTGGCTTTGCTGAGGGCAGGATGGTTTGGTACGCTGCTGTGAGGAACACACGATGATGTGCCGGGGTTGCTGTGTCAGTGCTAGGACCATTTCACAGAGCCGGTGTGCTGCAGTTCAGCTGCCTGCGAAGCACCCGAGCCCGGTGCGGTCCTGGCCTCGGGGAAGGGCTGTGAATGGGCTGGTGGAAAGGACCCTCCTGCTGATACCTGCCTTGTACCTCACCCCTTGCAACAGAGGTGGGTAGCCCCCTCTCTGGTGTCTCTACCAGGGCCTTGAGCATATCTTTAGCGAGCTGACACTGGATGTCCAGGTTGCTTGAAAAAACGTTTCATGGGAACTCATCTGTATACCTGATAGAACTGAATATCAGAAATGTTTTCCCAAACTTCCTCAGCCTGTGAACAGCAAGCATGTTTCTTCTTGGGAAACTTCTATTTTTCCTGTGACCCATGGCATTCTGTGGCCTAGAAGGCCTTCCGAAAATTACTTCTTAGCTAAAGAAGACAGCAGGCAGATGGCCCCAGGCTTTCCAGTGAGATTTCTTGATGCCTCCAGTACTCCTTTCCTCAAATAGACTCCCCAGTGCAGTGGTCAGGAGCTCAACAACATGGGTGCTCCTAATTTAACCATAGAGTCATGGGCTTAACATATTCGAAAGCTGGGTAAACAGCAAAAGAACTGATGTATTGGTGTGCAATACCTCATTGCAATTATTTGCCACTGTCCCCTTCCCCCCTGCCCCCCCCCCCCCACCCCCCGACTTTCTTGGCTTTTTGATACCTACATCAGCTGGTGTATAGAAAGGTGGAAACTTGGGTATCAGCACTGGAAAATAAAGGCTGATGGGGTGAAATAGCACATCTCCAAGCATGTATGCTGCAGTCCAGAAGAACTTTTGTGGCTATTCCCAGGGATGTTGCTGAATTTGAGCCCAAGAAGCTCCTCGGTAAGGAAACTGCTTTGGCAATGCACTGTGTATTTGAGCTGACCCTCCAACATGGGAACCAGGTAACTGTTTTATTCCTCCTGGAAATGATCATGTACGTTTGGGAACCTACCGTTGCATTGAGGGCTAGTAATTTTTCCGTGACGGGTATGTTTCTAATTCACAGAGATACTTTGAAATTTCAACATGTGAGTTCATACCAGCCTCTTACTAGCTGTTAGTAGGTGATGCTACCCACGATCAAGATAGCCAACACAGCAAGCACAGTGCACTCTGACCAATATTGGACAAACCCAGTAACGACACAACAACAATTCAAATCAACTGTTTGGCTGAAATCTTCCCAAGTGCTGAGCAAATGCCTAGTGAAACTAGCAGGAGGTCAAGAACAAGTTAATGTCAGACTAACTTTCTACATCAAGACCCTTGTTAAAGGACAGCCTCCCCATTCTATCATTTCTAGCTGAAGAGGCAATGTCATTCAATCTTGGCAGGTAATGATGTGGCCTCAGCTGTTTGCATCTCTGCCACTTCCTGGACAGCACCAACATGATGTACATGGGCCAGAAGCTTTCAGTGTTTGGTGACTTCAGCTGGGACAGGTCTCTGTGGTCAATCTTCTCAGCAACAAGCTACTGCAGGTATTGGAAGCTGTCTGCTTGCTATGGGACCTTAAACCAAATTTTATGCCTTAATCCTTATATTCAAGGTATTTCCTGGCCTGGGTCCTTGCTGTGGGATGCAGAGTATGTCTGACAGCTGCTTAAAAGCATAGAATGTATTTTCAAAATAAATCTCACCTGTAGCAATATTGGTGGGGATCAGACCAGAACTTTCTGAAGGAAATGTACAAGACCCCACACTGTGCTCTCCGAGCATCATTGAAAGCCTTGCTGCCTTCTGTGCCAAGAGGCAGGCATCCTGAAACTTCTTGCAGTTTTTGTTTTCTTCTCATGCTTCCTATAGCATAAATACATGGTAATCTGTAATATTGAAACAAACAAACAAAACCCCTAACAGTTGCCAAACCCACACTTCTTAGGAATGTGTCCTGGCTCCTGGCTGTACCCTCTGCACCCTCCTTTGCCTTGGCTCTGGTACTTGACTGACTCCTTGGTACACTGGTGTAGTCCGTTAATCCAGCAGAAAACTAACCCAGAAAAAAAGGGAGCTTGAATTTTGGGCTTTATTTGTTTACTTTTTGTTTGGTTAGTGAGCTGCCTTGGCTCCCAGAGGGGTCAGGTGAAGGCCAGAGCTGGGGTGTGGAAGGAAGCTGGATTGCATGGCCTGGAAGAAGTTGCAGCAAAAGGTCAGATTTGCTCAGACAACTTTCTAGGCTGTTTTCTTGGTGCACCACAGGAAAGCACTCGGATGCGGGGGCCAGGTGCAATGTGCAGGGCAGAGGGCACTGCAGGAGGATTTCTTTCAGCAGTGGCAGTTCTGGGGGTGAGTAGAAGCTTTCCCTATGGGGGTTATGTTCACCCATTTGCTACTTACCCCTCTGTTGCTTTCAAAACCATGCTGTGAGTGCTAGGACAAAACCTTCAACCCAGCTGTCTCTCAGCTACCAAAATATCTCCTTTGCCCCTTGACCAGCTGTCAAAACTTCCCTGGCCTTCCTTGAAGACGCATCTTAGGAAATGTTTCCCTTAGCATGTGAGAAATGGGAGGGATGCTTTGGAGAAGATGACTAGCAGGACTGCGCATTCGATGCCCAGTGCCTGTCCTAAGCAAGCCCGTCCATCTGGGCTGCCACCCTTGGCCTTTGTAATGCTCCTAGCTTGGTGTGCTCTGTAGGATGAGATCATGGTTCAAGGAAGAAAATGTTTCTGCGCAAACAATTGTACAACTTCAGAGCCAAGAAAAAAGCCTTAATTATTCAACTAGTTTGAAACACTTTAAAGTATCCCTAAAAATAGGTGTGAGGGATGTTTGTCAGCTACAAAGAGATTATCCTGCAATAGTATCACTTGTCTTATTTTATGATGATGCTACAGAATACAGTCCCTCAGGTAGCCTCATTAATGTTTATGAATGAACGCCTTGTTTTATGCTTTTGGTTTTAGAAGGTAGAAATAGGGCAAGAGGCTAGCAAGGCCGGTTTTACCATATATACTTTGGAAAGCCCAAGGACACCGGTATGATGTCTCTATAAGCCTCAGTGGTGCTGTGTATGGGTGACAATTGGATTTGGGCACTCATTAGACCAGCTGAGGTGTACTTCAAGGGGGAAATCCAGGCAGGACTTTGGCTAAAAACCTGGGTGAAATTCTGCACCCTTCCCCATGGATCTGTCAGCAGGAGGTTGGCACTCCTCTATGCCTCATCAGTCGTTTTGTTTTGATCTCTTCCAGCAAAGGCAACCTGAGACCATATGTTGTTATACCCATAAGTGCTTCCACAGAGCAGTATCTGGTAAACCCCGCTGCCTGTCAGCGTCTCAGCCCAGGGTGGAGGCTTCTTTCCACTATCTATTCCTTAAAGAGCGCAACTGTTTCTTCTGGCTATCATAAAAGAAGGGTGGCAGTTACGCCCAGCCCATAACAGTATGCGGTGGTTTCTGAGTCTTACCACTCCAGCCTTAAAATAACAGCCCTTTTTTCCAAGCCAACCAACAATTGCGGTCAGCCACTAATACCAGTTTAACCATTTGGCAGCTGCCCTATAGGAAATAGCTCTTTCAAGAGAGCCAAAGGAGCCCTTGGCCCCAGAGCCACGCTGGGCTGGTTTCAGTCAGAAGGGCATATTTACAGATTTCCTTGTATACAGCCAGCCTCTATAATAACAACCAGATCTTAGAAAGTTAATACCAAACAAATTGTGGAAGTAGGTTAGAAATAGTAATTCAAGTTAATTGTTTTGGTGTTTCATTTGATGAATGGATGGGTAAAACTCTCTGATTCTACCCCCTGCCTGGCACCCAACAACGCAGTTTCTTGCTCTGTAGTTCCTTTCCCCTCCATCGCGTATTGGGACTGTCAGTGGAGTTTATTTTGGGCTCGGTTCCCTCCTTGTTCTGCACAGTAGTAACCGGCTCTGCAAACAGTGCCATTGAAAGGGGAATCCGGCCCTTACGGCTTGAGGGCAGAAATCAGCAATAAAGGGCTATTGTCGGCCGGGGGTTCCCGCCCTGTCCCCCGGGATGCTGCCGTAGCTGTCCCTCGTCCCTTCTGCTCCGCTTCCCCTGGCTCCGCGGCTCCCCGCGTCCCCCTGCTCTCGCAGCGGATCTCATTCATCTTCAGCGGGGGACAAGGTGTGCGGCGTGCAGGGCCACCAGCCGCCCTTCGCTGGCCCGTCACCGCGGTTCTCCGCTTAGCAGCGCGGGGTGTGTGGGTGTCTGTACTGGGGGGGGAAGGGGGCGAGGCTGAGCACCGCACGCCGCGCAGCGACTCCGCGCACGGCCCCGACCCGCTCCGCGGTGAACGGGGCAACCGGCTGCCCCGAGCAGCCGCAACCACGTGGCGAGGGCACTTTCCCGGCCAGCGGTCGCAGCGCTCCGGGGCGGAGGATAAGCGGGGCGCGCAACCCCCAACCCAACCCAACCCAACCCCCCCCTCCGCGCCAACTTTTGCGACCCCCCCCCCCATCCCAAAACCCAGCGCGCGCCGCCGAGCTCCCCTTTTCCCCCGGCGGGCGCTCGTTTTGAATGAATGACCTCACCCGCGCCGGCCAACCGCCGCGCGGCGCTGCTTAATATTCATGAGGCGCCGCGCCAATGAGCGGGCGAGGAGGTTGTTTTAAACGGCAGAGCCCCGCAGCCAATCAGGCCGCTCTCGTAGGCAGCCAACGCGAGGCTGAGCCGCGCCGCGCCGAGCCCCGCGTCGTGCCCTGCGCTCCAGCTCCTGTCCACACTACCGCGAACAATACAGGTACGTGCAGCCCCGCCGCAACTTTTCGGGGGGCGGCTGCCCCCTGCCCGCTCCGCCGCCGCCCCGCCCTGCCCCCGCGCCTTCGCCCATCTGCTCTGCCAGCCCCGAGCTTTTTTTTTTTTTTTTAAATTTATTATTATTATTTTTTTTTTTGTTTTCCGTTCCTTCATTCCTCCGAGTTTTTTTTTTTTTTTTAATTTTATTTTTTTAATTAAAAAAAAAAAATCGGGAAAATCACCCAAAACTTTCTTCACCTTCTCGCAAGGGGATCGGCGGTGCTGGGGCAGATGCTGCGCGCAGCTGGCGGGGCAGCGGGCGAGGCGCAGCGTTTGCCCCCCGTCCTCCTCCCCTGCCCCGCCGGGAGCCCCCCCGGCGCGGTGGGGCTACCTGTCCCCGGTGCAGCCCCGTTTCTCCGCGCTGGGCTCCCGTGCCGCCGAGAGTAATATGGCTGGTGCAGCAACTACACCGGGACTAACTCCTCTTCTCCCCCGCATGGACAGGGATTTTTCTCTGCCGCCTCCTAATGTCGCACGGCAAAACGCGCGGCGCCCTCGGCTTTTATTTGCCCCCTTCCCTCGGGTGGGCTCGGTGGGGCTGGCGGCGGTGGGAAAGTTGTTGGCCGTGCGCAATGCCGTGCCCGCTGTTTATTCTGCATTAATATGGCTGTCGCTTTAGCATCTGACAGGGATAAACCCTGCGCGCTGCGCCCGTCTGTCCCGGCGAAGCAGTTTTTTTCTCGCCGCCGCCGCCTCCAAACTCCCCCGATCCCTTCGCCTCTGCCTCCGCCGCTCTTCCCCTGCCCGGGAAGGTGTCTCCGGCGGGTCTGCGCCCGCGGCGGGGCCCCGCATCGCCTCTTCCCCGCGCCGCGCCGCCCGTGCTGTGGGCATTAATATGGCTGGCGCTGGAGAGCCCCGGCGAAGGGAAGAAAGACGTGTAAGCGGCAGAGGGATGGGGAGGGGGGTCGCGGCGGGGGAAATCTCCTTCCCGGCGCCCCGCAGGGGGCTCAAACCTTTCGCTTTCGCCCCGGCTCCTCTCCCCCCACCGCCCCGCGCCCTCGGCCGGGCGCCGGGGGGCCGCCCCGAGGCTCTCCGCACTCTTTTTCTGGCGGCGCGGAGGAGCGTAGCGGCGGCGATAATGGCTGCACGGGAGCCTTTGTTAGAGAGCGCTGCGCTAGGCGGGGGGGGGGGGGGTGGGGGGGGCGCCTCCCGCCCGCGCCCCGGCCCCGCCGCCCCCGCCGCCCGGCGGGGGGCCGAGCGGGGAGCCCCTTCTCGGCGGGGGCGGCGTTTTGGCGAGGCCGGCGGCCGGGGGCGGCGGGCGCGGGGGGCCGAGCGCGGCGGAGGGGGGAGCGCGGCTTTGTTCGGCGGCGCGGCGGCGGCGCCGGGAGAAGCCATCTTAGCGAGCGGGGCCGGCCCTGGGCGCGGAGCGCGGCCGCCGCCGCCGCCGCTCCCGCTGCCGCTCGCACCGGCCGCCCGGGGCCGGGCCGGCGCCCCGCGCCCCCGGCCGCCGCCCGGCCCCCCGGCGCCCCCCGCCCGCCGCCCCGCCGCATTTCAGGGGCACTTTCTTTCATCGGGAGGCATTTCACAAAATGGAAGATGAATTATTGGCGTCTGGCGGAGCCGCCGCTGCCCTCTCCGCCCGCCGGCCCCGGCCCCGCCGCAGGTGCCCGCGCCGCGGAGCCCGGCCGCCGCGGTGACCTTGGGGGGGAGAAGATGGCGGGAGGGGAGCGGAGCGGAGCGGAGCGGAGCGGGGGCCGGGCCGGCCGCGGCGGGCCGCTCGCCCCCAACTTCGGGAGCAGGCGGCGGCCGCGGCCCCGCTCCGCGCTCCTGCCTCGCCGCTTTCTCCCCCCCCGCCCCCGCTTCCGCGGGTTTTCCGCTCCTGCGGAGCGCTTTTTGGCCGGGGACGGGAATCCCGCCGAGCTCCGATAGCGGGCCAGGGCGGGAGAGGGCGGCTTAAAGTCACTTTTGCTGCACATGGAGGGGTTAATAGACACAATTAAATATTAACGCTGTGCTAATAAAAATTAAATTTTCAGATGCTTGAGGAGCTGTAAATAGGAAATATTGCTGCGGGATTTTTTTTTTTTTTTTTTTGAGGGGAAAAAAAGATAATACGGAAGAGGGGGAGAGGAATACAGCCCGAAAGTTAGCATCATCCTCTCTGTGACTTGCTAATCACATCTTTGCACTGACCACTATGCCTCTGAACATGTGTCACTTGGTGGAGCAAGTGCTGCTCACCTCGCAGAGCTCCACGGGTCCTATTGTGTTTAAAACTAGCCTTTATTTGAACACCTTCTTATACGTAAAATGTTATTGTGCTTTTAGGGGGGGGAATAAGCTGTTCCGCCTTTTTACATGGACAGCAGCTGCTAAAGTGAACTCCAGCTACTAAGGGGATAAGTCATAGCCTGGCCCTGTGCATGCTGCTCGAGCCCCAGTGTGGTAGCCAACTAAAACATATTTTATATTAGTTCATACATAACTCTCAATGGGCAGAAGTATGTGTATTTAATAGCCTGTCTCCAGTCTTTGGACATGATGTAAATATATATCAATGTAAAACTGAATTCCGGTGATTGGTTTCGCTTGGCTTAAGTCTGCAACCCAAGTGTAATAGAAGAATAATTTAAGTCTCTGTATTGGAGATGGTAAGAGGCGTTGGGGGGGAAGAAAGAGTTGCATTGCTGGTGGGACATCAATTCAGGGGATGGTGGTGTGTGCATATATAAATATATGCACACCATATATGCATACACATGCATCCATACATGCATGCACTTGTTATTTTTTTCCTCTCTTTCCTACAGAGTTCAAGATGGCTAAAGGTGATCCGAAGAAGCCCAAGGGCAAGATGTCTGCCTATGCCTTCTTTGTGCAGACGTGCCGTGAGGAACATAAGAAAAAGAACCCAGAGGTTCCAGTCAACTTTGCAGAGTTTTCCAAGAAGTGCTCAGAGAGGTGGAAGGTACCTTAGTTTGTAATTTCATCAAGGGATAACTTGTTACGGTATCTGCTGGGCTGACGTGTGTGTGTGTGCCTGCTGTTCTTGGCAAGGCGGCCTGGCCCGGCCATTGATCGGGTGCTGCTGATGCCTGTAATGATCGTGAAGGCTTTAGCCCAGTGCATCTGCCCATTTAGGTGCTTCTGCTACAGCCTGGCCTTTTTTCTGTTTCTGAGCAGTGCCCTTCAGCAGCTACCCCTCTCCAGGCCTGTGTCCTCGAGGAGGACTCTGGCTATGCTGGTCCTGTTCCCGTTGCTGCCCTCTCGCTGTGTATGCCAGCTGTGGCTGCGGCCCCTGGTACAGGACCTTCGTCCCCAAGATGGTCCAGTTAGAAAACAAACAAATTCTGAAACTCCCCTATCAAGTCAGTATGTGTTGGCTTGTTTACTTAAAGTTTGCCAGGTATTGAACAGTTGGGTAATCATAGGTTTGGTGTCTTGTTTTTTGTTTTTTTTTTAGACCATGTCAAGCAAGGAGAAGGCTAAATTTGATGAAATGGCAAAGGCTGATAAGGTACGATATGATAGAGAAATGAAGGACTATGGACCAGCTAAGGGTGGCAAGAAGAAGAAGGACCCCAATGCCCCAAAACGACCACCGTAAGTAACTTTGAGGTGTTAAACGCAAGAGTATTTTGGTTTGTTTTCATGCTCTGTACCACAGCTGATAGGTTTCCATAAAGGAAGTAGATGGGGTATACTGTTGGTATAGTTGTATTGGCACGGTATTCAGAGCTTACTGATAGTGCCTTGTAGATATTCTAGGCAACTTGCAATCCTGAGCATGTAGGGCGCTAAGAGGTATTGTCAGTACCTGGTACCCTTTAACTTGTAGTGATGGAAGACATGGAAATGACATGGTCACAGTGAGACTTGTGTATCTAAGATGACATTTCATTGGGGACATAGTCAAGGCATTGGGTGAAGGCTGTAGGTCTGGGCCTCGGTAAAATCAAAACATGTTTGGGTTTGTGGTTTGGTTTGGTGTTTTTTTTAAAGTGAGGAAAAAGAAAAAGGTGTTTCTACTCAGTGTGTGAGGGCACATATGAATATTGTGGGTGAGGGATGGAGGAAGGGGCTGCTCCCTGGGTCTGCTGCTGTGGTGCTGACTGTCCTCTGGTGCTTCTCCCCCAGGTCTGGCTTCTTCCTCTTCTGTTCAGAGTTCCGCCCCAAGATCAAGTCCACAAACCCTGGCATATCTATCGGGGATGTAGCAAAGAAACTGGGCGAAATGTGGAACAACCTCAGTGATGGTGAAAAGCAGCCTTATAATAATAAGGCAGCTAAACTGAAGGAGAAGTACGAGAAGGTAAGGCTAGTTTTCACTTGTGCCTCTTCCACACTGGCTCTTGTGTTGATGGATTTCTGTTACACCCAGCTAAGGTGGCCCCAGCCTAGCGAGCATCTCCAGCTTACAGAGCTGTTGTCACTGTGCTACGTAGCCAAACTTTGCGTATGTTGGGACAGAGTAGGTTAGAGAGCTGCACGTGGATCCAGCGAGGAGGGAGAGCTTTCCCCCAGGGATGCTCAGCAGTGGCTGCTCGTGTTGCTCCAGCAAAGGGTTTGCTGTGCTGTTAGAGGAGCTTTGTCCCATTAGCAGGAAACTCTTGAGAGGCTGGGCTGTCTTCTCCTCCTCAAAGAAATAACCATGAACGCAGGGTTCAAGGCCTCTGTCATCTGGAGGCAGTTGAACACACTTAGGTGTCTGCATACCTGTGTACTGTGGCGCTGGCTGTTTCCCCGCTCGGGGGTGCAGCTGTGGAATGCCAGTCCCTTTACGTTAATGCCCGCTGCTGTACAAATGCTGTGTGTGTTTGCTGCTTAGAGCAAATTAAGACATCCCCTTGACTTTGCAGGATGTTGCAGACTACAAGTCTAAAGGAAAGTTTGATGGCGCAAAGGGAGCAGCAACCAAAGCTGCTCGGAAAAAGGTAGAGGAAGAAGACGAAGAGGAGGAGGAGGATGAAGAAGAGGAGGATGAAGATGATGATGATGAATAAAACTGTACAATACTTGTCTCCATGTGAATACCATAGAGTAGGGGAAACACCATAAATGAAGCACCTCTTATTTGAGATGGTGTCTCTTGCCCTTATTAGGCTTAATTAAAAAAAAATTTGGATTCCGATCGCGTTGTAGTTTCTAAAAGTGCTCTAGAAATTGTAACTGGTTTACATGAAGTGGCCATGGGTGTAGTGAGCACCCTGAAACTGTATCAAAGTTGTACATATTTCCAAACATTTTTAAAATGAAAAGGCGCTCTAGTGTTCTCCTAACTCTGTGCACTTTGCTGTTGGTGTAACAAAGCATTTAAAAATGTTTCAAGCATTTTTTTAATTTGTAAGGTGGTGTTACTATATGGTTATTGGCTAGAAAATCCTGGGTTATAAACTGTACATATCTATAGTTTGTAAAAACTAGACAGATTCTTGTGGTACATGCTTAGAGTTATGATGCCTTAGAGGAGCAGTGATTACTTGGAAAGGCTGTACGTTCCCCGGGGTGCCATGGCCCAAAGCATGCACTGTGAGGGTAGATCTATTTACACTACAGTGGGCGTCCATTTAGCTTAAAGTTGTCTTTCTGTATATAGTGAAATAGCATTCTGCTGCCATTCTTAGTTGTGGAAGGGGGTTCAGCTGGCATGAGAAGTGTATGGATTTTTTTAGTTAAGTGCGGTAGTTTTTAAACTGAAACTGTAGACATCTCTTCATCGTCAACTAAGTGAAGAGCCAGTGCAGCAACTGAAGTTCAAAAACACTCTGTACTTAAACGAATTTGCAACGTTCTGTTTTTTTTGTATGTTTAGAATGCTGAAATGTTTTTGAAGCAAAATAAACAGTATTACATTTTTAAAACTGTTCTTGACAACACTCTAAATTTCTGGTTTAAAAGGATCTTAACAACAGCAAGAAGTTCATTTTGAAGTCTGTGGCATCCCTCAGGGCTGGTGACTTAGGAAACATTCTGACTCAAGGATTTAAAAAAAAAAATAAAAATAAAAAATAAATGGTGGCCAGCCAAAACTGGCTGAATTGAAAGAGATGGCTGCTCCAGCTAATATGCAATCGTAACTGTTTATGGCTGAGTGGCATAAGATGCTATGCAAGTTTGAACTTTATTACTTGAACTTGGGAGCCTAAATGAACATTCATGACGTAATTGTTTGTTTGTGTGTGTATATAGCAGCATTCAGAGATGCAGAGAAAGGTAGGTGGCTAGGAATGAGGCTGACACCATGGAATAAGTATAAAAGCATAGTTTGGATTTTTTTTTTTTTTCAGTTGTGTTGGGTAAATTTATAGCCCAAATGCATTGCTGTACATATTAAAATGTGCCTTTTTTGTCCTGTGTTAAACTGTTTCAGACTTGTGGTTTTTTCTAGCATCTTGATTCATGGCAGGAGCCAGGCGCCTAGTCTAACTCCCTGCTGAAGTAGGAGCGTGGCGCAGGTACTTAGTCTGTGTTCTTTCTCTCATGACACAAGTTTTAACAGGAGTTGGGTGCTATGAGGTGGGTTGGCGGAGCGACGCAGGTCTCTCTCTCCCCTTTGGCGACCAGCTGGCTGCGTCATAGTCTTGATGTCTTTCCAAATTCAAGCTGGGGATGTTTTGCAGCCCTTGGAAGGGAAAGGCAATACCTGGTCTCTAGCTGGCAACTAACCTCATTTTTCCTTAGCATGGAAACTGCACAAACTGGGAAAACTGCAGCACCCGTTCGCTATACTTGAATTCCTTCCTTGTCCTGGCTGTAGTTAGCAGTCAGTGTTTGCTTGGCAGCAAGGAGGAGATGGGGGTGTGAGGATACTTGCATTAATAGCAGGTCAAAGTTGCAGGCTGCCGTGTGTAGCTGACTTAAGAGGATGGGGTAACTCATTAGTGTAAACTGTGGGTACGGGCTGCTGCCACTGCTTCATTTGAGCCAAACTGCAGATTAACGAGGGCCAGGCTTACAGGCAGTAACTACTAATGTGGATAAAAGTGCTTTGTTGCCTAATTGGGTAGCACATCTGGCTTCCTGTGACTTCTCAACAACCATAGTATCTTGGCAAAACAGTCAGATCTAGTGTTGAGATGGACTAGAACCTGAAAGCAAAACCAAGCAAAAACTTGGTATGTGATGAAGCAAGCTAATAAACCTTCATGAGACATAGTGACATGTAGCAACTTTTTTTTAAGGCTAAGTTACAGTTGGATCACTTAAAAGTACTTCTATAATTGCTTAATTATGGCAATTCTTAGTGTCTTTAATGCACAAAAAAAACAAGTGTGAAATTGGCCCTCGTTTTATGGGAAGTTGCATTTAAAAGCCTGAATAAAGTTGCATCTGGAGAAGAAATAGGTACCTTTTTGTATTTGCTACCCTTTCCACATGTCTTCTGATGCAAGGGAGAAGACAACTGGAGATTCCAGCACGTGGTAATTTGATGGGGAAGTGGTGGAGCAGAAGAGAAAAGTGATGGCATCATTTCAGGAGCTGTAATACTGTTTCTATTGTCTAGTTGGCAAAATCTCCCCTTAGCCACATATGGGAATTAGTGTAGATCACTGCTGTGCAAATCGAGCTTGGCTTTGAATTAACTGCTAGTGAGCTGAGCCCCTATTGATAGTATTAGCAAATAAGAACTAGAGCTGACACCTCTTTGTCTTCGTTATATTGGAAATCTATCGAGTTGCAGGGCTTGATTAAGGTCTTGGACCTTACAGTGCACTACCTACTCCTGCTCTGCAAATTTCTAAAATATGGCATGCCTCGGGAGCGCTGTTCAATACAATGCTAGTGCAGGACTCTGGGGACTCTGATTTGGATATTGCAGATGTAGTGATGATGTTTCTTCCCCCAATACTCTGCCATTGATAAATACCATAATGCGAATGTATATAAATAACACATGATTTCCCCACCACCACCACTGGTTTTTGTGTTCTGAGATGTCATCTCAAATATTGGGAACTGCTTAATTCCACCCAGCTCCATTTTTTGATGGAACACCCTCCAAATGCTCTTTCTCTCTGCTTTTAAATGCTTGTGGTGTTTCCGAGCAGACATTTGTGCTTTGGGCGGCTGCACAGCTAAAACTTTTAGTTCAACTTTAGTCCCAAGCCAAGCAGAATAAATATGTCTTTTATTAACTCCATTATATGTGGAGAAGTATAATGATAAAATAGAATTGGGGAAAGGGAGGGGAGGGATGAAGAGAGGCTCTTCCTTTCATGAATTTGACAGAGCTGACTGCGAGTCTGCTCGCGTTCCCAAAACGTGATTTGTTGCATCCCCCCCATGTCTGCTGAAGTCAGGCTGAGGCAGGCTGTGGGGATGAGGGGCTTGGTTAAGAAAGAAGGGATGGTGCTGGTACTGCAGCTGCTAAAGCCTGCTTGCTGTGCTGGGGAGACAGAGGGTGGCTCGACTGGGTGGCGTGGTCCCTCTGGGTGCCTAAAAGAGTGGCAGAGGTGTGAGAGCTTTTGCTCAAGGGAGAGCATCTGCTGGTGCTGATGGGGGGCAGAGATGGGCAGAGGCAGACAGGGTGCCGCCTGGCAGCACTGACCCACGTCCCGCAGGTTGTTTCACCTGGGTGGTACTGTTTGATTTGCACTTGGAACTATATGTAGTCTGGAGAACACAGTTGCTACCAAAATGCACCACATCCTTCGGAAATCAAACCAGCTGGGGGTCGAGGGGATGAAAGGGGCTGCTGAGCTGGTCTGTGCAGGCCAGAGCCTGCCTCTGCTGAAAACAAGCCTGGCAGTCTATTAGCATGACCCGGGGAGGCAGAGGAGCAATGCTCTGCTGTTGCTCTGTGGCCTATACATTTCTAAATTCAGTTGAAATGTGGTGTGAGCCGAATGTGAGCCCTTAGACTAGAGGGGGGGCTCCCGGGGAGGGACTGCAGTGGGGAAGCCCCACCATGGGTGTAGGGTTAGCTCCTTGCAAGCAGTCGTAAGGAAAACTGTGCTGCAGGATAGTTTCCTACCACTTGTGTTGGTATCCTAATGCACCTGTGGGGAAGAAGTGCATTAATTTTTCTGTAATAAAATTAATTAAAAATCCTAGTCCAAATGCATATTGAATCAATTAGCAGAGAACGGCTGCAGCTCTAACAGAGGTCCATAGGAAGGTGAGAGTCTGCTTTAGGGATCGTACTGGGTATACAGGCAGAGTCAAAACATCTCTCTTATCTGCTCTCTTTGAATGGCTGATTTTTATATAGTTTTATTCACTCCTAATAAGCCCTGCAGGAACAGCAGCGCTGTGCAAGGGCTTCTGTTGGCTCTGGCTCAGGCGGTGGCAGGTGAACGGCTTTTCGCTTCCAGCCTCCAGCACAATTCTGGCAGCTGCCTCGAGTTTATGTTTTCCCTCTGTTCACTCAGGCTGTTGTTTCACAGTCAGAGAAACGTCCCCTAAGTAAGCCCTCTTCTGCTGAGGGTTGTGGGAAGCAGGGCTTGGACCAGGAGAAGTGGCCGGGATGGGACGTCCCCGCTGGTTTGTTGGGGCAGGAGTGGGACACTGCATTTATGGCCACACTGCATTTATGGACATGCTCCTGTTTGCTTTCTGCCAAGCCCCATGCTCCCCTCTCTGAATGTAGCCCAAGCTCGCTCTCCTCTAAAAGATAATAGGATGAATTGTGACAGTTGACATATTTATTTCTTTCTGCTAGTGCTACACCACATTTTAATGCAATAAACTGAATTGCCAATTGCAGCTGTGTTGCAAAACAAAGTGTGCTGGAGACCCCATTACCAAATGGTTGCTCTCTAAATGTATTTCAGCTTGCAGGGGAGAAGGAACCAAATAACCAGAATGCCTGGCAGAGGGTTTAATGCCCTACAAGGTGTCTTCACCCCTTTTTGGCAGGCTGCGCTCTGGTGGGAGCGTGGCGTGTGCCTGCCTCTGCTTGGGCAACATTTGACGACCTGTGTTCAAAGCGCTCTGCAAACATCCTTCTGATAGGTCTGATAAGTACATGCTAAAGAGGGATGTAGATGCTCCTTGCTTGTGCTGAAGATCTTGATAGGAGTTGTCCACTGCTAAGAGCTCTTCCCTGAGCACCCTCCTGCACCTGGATCCCTAAATTAGGCAGGAGGAAGCAGCCACAGCCCTGCTAGAGCTGACAGCTCTGTCTCCCAGGTGGTGAGTACCTCCTTTTCTTGTTCCTGGCTGCGGTATCGCCTCACAGAAATGCCTATGAAGTAGCTAAACCAGGGTTAGTCTTTCTGTTAAACTGGAACAGAGATGGCAAGTGACCTCCCCAGGACTGGGTGTTGTGTGGAGCAACAAACTGGTGCTGTGGTGGGGTTAAGACCTTTGGAGGCTGGAATGTATGAAAGCAATCTTTGTCTTGATGCTGGGAGATGAAAATGCATTAACCATGGTAAGGGGATGCCTGCCCTGTAACTGTGTCCCCTGACACAGTTGACTTCATGTCCCTGGCTGAATCCAGCAGCCAGGAAAATCACAGCTGGGAACTGAGCCTTGCTGTGGGACTGGGTGTTTTGCTGGTGTTTGCAACTGACTTTTGAGCCCCTGAAGTGCAGAGTACCACTGCTCTGCCCCCATACCTGCTACCCCATCTTGCTTCTGTCTGGGTGCTCCCTTCCAAGACACCCGAGGAGCTGGAGCAGCCCCCCTGCATGGGTGTCGCATGCCTGTGCACGCTGCTGTAGCCAGGCCTGTGTAAGGAGAGAGGCAGGTAGGATACTACGAGTGATAGAGTTGCTTTTTCTTCCCAGCCCCTCCCCTTGTAAAGCTCCCTTGGGTATTTCAAAGCAGAAAAATGCTCTTTTTAAAAATATTAATCAAACATGGCCTGACTTTGTTGTTCTAAGGGCTTATTATTTGTAAGTGTTTTTAACTGCTT